AACCCCATGCTCTTAGCTGTCATTCTCTAATCTCTCCTCTTCCTAGCCCTGGCAACCACTAATCTTTCTGTCTTCATAGATTCACCTATCCTGGACATTTTACATAAACTGAATCATAAATATGTATTTTTCTAAGGCTCAGTCATATTGTAGCATTGATCAATATTTCATTCCTTTTTTATGGCTCAATAATATTTCATTCTATGGATATCTCACATTTTGTTATTCAATCATCCATTAATGAATATTTGGGTTATTATGAATAAAGCTGCTATGAACATGTGTTTACAGGGTTTTGTGTGGACATATGTTTTCATTCCTCTTGGGTATATACTCAGGAGTGGAATTGCTTGGTTACCATTTTGAGTAACTGGAAAACTGTTTTCCAAAGCAGCTACACCATTATTCATTCCCACAAGCAATGCATGAGGTTCCAGTTTCTCCATATCCTTGCTAACACTTGTTACCGTCTTCTGGATTATAGTCATTCTACTGGGTGTGAAGTGGTTTCTTACAGTGGCTTTAATTTACATTTCCCTAATGACTTAGATGTTGAGCATCTTTCCATGTGTGTATTGGACATTTGTTATCTTTTTTTGGAGAGATGCCTATTCATATCTTTTGTTATTTGTCTTTTTATTATTGAGTTGTTAGTTAAGAGTTCTTTACATATTCTGGATACTAGCACTTTATCATATATAAGATTGGCAAATAGTCTCTCCTATTCTGTGGTTTCACTTTCTTCATGGTTTCCTTTGAAGTACAAAAGTTTTTAATTTTGATTAAGTCCCATTTATCTATTTGTTCTTTTATTGCTTGTGCTTTTGGTGTCATACCTAAGAAACCATTTTCTAACTCAAGGTCACAAAAATGTACTCCTTTGTTTTCTTTTAAGAATTTTATTGTCTCAGCCCTTACATTTAAGTCTCGGAATTAGCCCATTTTTGAAGTTTCATTTTGAATTTTTTATTCAATATTGCTTTTCAAGACTCATCAAATCAACACACTCATCTTTCGTTTAAGGTGGTTAATATTCTTTTTTAAAAATATATACTTACTATCTTCCTTTACTGAAGTCTATATAATTTTTACTGTATAACAATATTTCAAAGAGGAAAGACTTGTGTTTACAGAGCCTTTACTTAACATTAAATTATAAGCAAACATGTCTTAATTGTGTTCTGATCTCTTTTTGGCTTGGAAAGTGGGAGATTATGCCTATACTTGGCATAAGTAGATGGGGGTGTTTGTGAGGCTGAGTCATTTTTGTCCTGCAGCATGACAGACTGTTTTAGCTGTAAAGAAGAACTTCCTGAGACCAAGGACCATGGGGCTTCAGGTAAAGACTGGGGCAGATCATGGTAATAAGGAAAAACCTGCTAAAAAAAAGATGCTATTCTCAGCCTTACTGAAATATTCCAAGGCAGTGCGGTGTACAGGTTAAGGATGCAGGCAGAAAGGGCCAGAACACCAGCTCTACTATCTTCCCCAGCTCTATTAGGCTTTATTCAGCATGGTCAGTGAAAGTGTCCTTGATAAGCTCAGAAATCTGAGTTCCTTTAACTCCTGGTGCCTCAGCCCTCACCTTTAAAATGGGGGTGATAACAGTATCCACCCCAGAAGGCTGAAGTTAGGCTTGGGTAAGTCATTCTATGCACAATGCTTAAACCTACCTCCACAGAGTGGGCAACCTCGTAAGTACTAGCTGCCACTATTGCTCAGGCTTTCCCTCTAACATACATGAGAAGTCTCTTTCATAAATTTATGGAAAGCCGGTTAACATTTTTTATAGTGTGAAAACAGTATATAACAAGCAAAAGGAAAAAAGCTGCCTATAATCCCACTACATTGAGATATTCCTTGTTAATATGTTGCTATTTTTTCTTCTAGTTTTTAAAATATATTTCTATGTATATGCACATATGCATTCGATAGCCTTTTGTATCTACTTATATTTTGACCTGTGCAAGCTCTTTATTCAGATAAATTTATTAAAAAATTTATCTTCAATAAAGATCTGGTACCTCTTAAAAAAATCTGGTACTTATACCTTTTCTAGATCAATTCTCCTTGGATCGTTCTCCTACAGAAGTTGTGAATTCCTTGAACACACATCAATCCACAATCACATACAGATTAATTTCCAAGTGAAAATAAATGTCCCCCCCACCATCAGCCGAGATGTAGACCTCCCCACGAGAGGTCCTTGTGGGTGACAGTGGCTGGGAGAATATGTGGGACTGGAAAGGTTAGCCTTACCTGACTCGGTGGTGATTGGCAAAGAGAAAAACGTGTCTGAATAGAGTGGCTTTGTGAATTCCTTTAGGTCCTCATCAAACAGCTGTGTAAAAGCCCGAATACTGATTCTGAAAAAGAAACATTTATTTAGATACAAATTAGTGGCTGACCACAGTAGGGCTGACTGAAGAACGTGTTCAAGGAGAAACAGGGTGGGGACCTGTCAATATGTATGTAGGGCCGGATGTGAGCCATGGAACCAGACAGACTTGGGTTCATTCATTCATCCATCAAATATTTATGGAGCCCCTATTCTGTGTCAGACATTATGTTCCAGGGGCTGGAGATACCGCAAGGAAGAAAGTAAAAGTCTCTACCATCCCAGAGGTTACATTTTCATGGAGGATATCAGATAATACATATACAAATATAATGTGCCAAATAGTGGCATGAACCATTAAAAAGACAGCAGCAGAGTAAGGGAGATGGAAAGCAATGGGACTGCTTTATTCATCATGGTCAATGAATGTCTCTGATAAAAGGATATGTGCCCAGAAACCTGAGGAAAGGAAAGGAGGGAACTGTGGCTGCATTTCAGGCAGGTGCAAGGCTCTGAGGCAAGAACATGCCCGGGTGCAAGGAGGCCAGCGTGGCTGAGCATAATACATAAATGACGGAGAAATAGGAGATGAGGGCTGAGAGTTAGATGGGACCATGGAAGACCTAGGTCTGGTGAGGATTTTGGCTTTTGTTCTGAGAGACCTAGGAAGCCACTAGGGGGTGCTATCAGGATCACTCTGGCTGCTGCAGCCTGGGAGCAGCAATAAAAGAGGACAAACTAGTCAGCAGGGAATTGCTCAAGTCCAGGTGGGAGATGCAGTCATATTTATAGTGAGAAGTATTGGATATTTCAAAGAAAGAGCTGAACGATTGCTGGTGGACGTGCAGTATGAAAAGGTGGAGGCAAGGATGACTCCATATGATCTGGCTGAGGAGCAACTGGGGGAATGGAGGTGCCATTTACTAACATCAAGGAAGTCCGTGGAGAATGTTGAGGGGTTCGGGAAGTACAGAGTTCATTTGCGGGGGCAGTAATTCTGGGTGCCTGTTAGAGCAGTCCAATGAGTCAAATGTCAATATTATCAGTATTCCTGTAATTGTTGATATTTTACTAAAATAACTACATATACAAATAACATTTTACACTGAACATTACATTACAAATAAAATTATGTATCTTCCTGTCTTTTTGGCACTAGTTATTTTCTAAAGAGCCTTTTATCTAAAAATATTTTAATGTCATTGTCATAAAATATACTTAATGCCTTCTTTATATCTAATTGCTGAAGTTACAAAGAGATACATACTCACTATTCTTGGAAACTAGAAAACCAATATAAAGAAATAAGGCCAATAGTAAAAGAAGAAAGCACATATTAAATGCAAATGAGGAATACTGCAATTTGGAGGAAACTATGTTTGGGCATAAGGAGATGGGGTGGCCTGGAGCACAGGATTCCAAATGGGGGCACAGTATGAAATCAAGTGGAAGAGCCAGCAAAGGACCACCTGGGAGAAGAGTGGTCCATATAGAGACTAGTGTGATAGTCCAGGCCAAGGACATGGGGCCTTGGTCTCGGGCAGTGGCAATGAGAACAGAAAGAAGACTGAAAGGCACTGAGAGGAGGTGCCAGACAAGACCTAGTCTGAAGAGGAGAAGGGGGAAATCAAGATGGTTCTAGGCCTAGCCGGTGGTGCTAAGTGGTTTAGAGCGTTGGTCCGTACACCAAAGGGTCACCAGTTTGATTCCTGATTAAGGGTACATACCTGGGTTGCAGGTTAGATCCCTGGCCCCAGGGAGAGTGTGTGCAAAAGACAACCAGTTGATGTGTCTCTCTCACATCCATGATTCTCTCTCTCTCCCTCCTCCTCTCCCTCCCACTCTCTCTGAAAAATCAATGGAAAAATATCCTCAGGTTAGGATTATTAAAAAAAAAAAACTGTTCTAAGATTTTAGCTCAGGTCATTGGGAAGAAAAACGGCCTCACTGATAGAAATGGGAGCTAGACTCGGGAAAGAGGATGAGCTTTGCTTGGCAATATTCAGGTTAGAATGACAGTGGACTCATTTAGAGCTCTCCATCTGGCATTTGGAGTTATTCCAGTCACCTGGGCTGGAGAGCTGCTGAGGTAGCTGTCCATGTGCCCATGTGGGATGGTGCCTGGAGATCAGCTGGCCCTAAATTCAATAAGCAAGCAAGGTGCAGCTCCTAAAACACTGAATTAGAACCCCAGCCTGGATGAAAGGCCTACTGTACCTATCACAGGACCTAAATCTCATGTTCTCTGGGTGAGTCAGGTCCAGTCATACTCAATTTTGGGGGTCATAATTTAGGAAGCATAGAAATCATTGGGGTGATTGACCAGGATGATACAGAGAAGGCTTAGAGGAACATGATAGCTGACTTCATATTTAGGGAAGACTGCAAGTAGAAGAGGAAACAGACATCCTTATTTTCCTCTTTAAAGACAGGACTGAGCTCGGTGGGCTGGCGTCACAAAGCTGTAGTCATGAAGTCACGTTCCAGCATCTCGAGTAGGAGCCACTTAGGTAGTGAAGGGCTTTACATTATTGAAGGGCTCTCAGCAGAGGCTGGAGGAAAACCAGCTCCCAGGAAAGCTACGGGACAGGTCTGCTGCACTAAGTTAAAGATTGGCCTGGTCCAGCTCTTGAGTTCTTTCTATCTTGAGATTCTCAGACTATAGGTTTACTGATAAAGTGTCAGGCTTAAGAAAACAGAAACATCAATCAGAAAGGATATTTTCACCCCTATATTCATAGCAGCACAATTTACCATAGCTAAGATTTGGAAACAGTCTAAGTGCCCATCAGCAGATGAGTGGATTAGAAAACTGTGGTACATCTACACAATAGAATACTAGGCTGTTGTAAAAAAGAAAGAATTCTTACCATTTGTAACAGCATGGATGGACATAGAGAGCATTATGCTAAGCGAAATAAGCCAGTCAGAGAAAGATAGATATCACATGATATATATCATTTATGGAATATAATGTATAACATAAAATGATATTATTCTAACAAGATAAGCAAGCCAGAGAAAGATAAATACCACATGATCTCACTCATTTGTGGAATATAATGAACAACATAAACTGATAAACAAAAATAGAAGAGTCATAGAAGCATCAAACAGACTATCGAACCTATGAGGGAAGGCAGGGGGTGAGGGGGTAAGAGATCAACCAAAGGACTTGTATGCATGCATATGAGCGTAACCCATGGACACAGACATAGGGGGTGGGTGGGTGGTGAGGCATGTGCTGGGGGATGGGGGCAGCTGGGGAGAGGTCAATGGGGGAAAAAAGACTTATGTAATACTTTAAACAATAAAAAATTTAAATTCAAAATAAATCCTATATAATAAAAACCTAATATGCTAAGTGTCTGGTCATTCAGTCATCCATTCAACCAATCAAAGTGTAATATGCTAATGAGATTCTAAGGCTGCTCACTATGATGTGCACTGACCACCATGGGCAGATGCTCCAACCAGTAGGTTAGCTTGCTGCTGGGGTCTGGCCGATTGGGATTGAGCTAGATGGGCCGGATATGCCCTAGAGCCCTCCCATGGTCCCTCCCCAGCTGGCCAAGCTCCCGCGTCCCTCCCCATCCCCCATTGTGCACCAGTGGGGTCCCTTGGCCTGGCCTGTGCCCTCTCGCAATCTGGGACCCCTTGGGGGATGTCTGAGAGCTGGTTTTGGCCCAGTCCTGCTCAACGCAGGAGCTGCCCCCTAGTGGTCAGTGCACTACCACAGGGGGAGTGCCTCCACGTCAGTTGGACATCCCCTGAGGGCTCCCGGACTGTGAGAGGGCACAGGCCGGGCTAAAGGACACCCCCACTCCAGTGTACAAATTTTGTACACCAGGCCTCTAGTCAATAAATAAAGTATAAGGCTTGGTTGCTATAGAAAAACCTTTTCTAGTGTTAATTTAAACCCTATGAAAATGAATGGAGGATTCATTTTTTCCTTTTTAAAAAGGTTAGATTTGTTGAACCCCAAAGTATCTGGGCACATCCTGTAATAATGCTGAAGTAGTAACAGGCCAGGAAACATTGTTCTGACCCTCTGTCCCCTCCTTCTAACTCACACCCCCAGCCCTGCTTGAACCTGGACTACTTGCTCTTCTCTAAACAATCTGTGTTTTTGCTTCTGCACTTTGACTCACTCTGTTCCCTTCACCTTAATCCTCTGTCCCTATTTCCATATTTTCCCTACCACACCCGGCCCAGGGACTTTCAGAGAGAGGCACCCTGTAGTGAATATATGATCAGCAGGATCAATTTAATAATAGAGTAAGATTATTTTAATGAATAGATATCTGATAGCAATTATTTCAAGTTTAACTGTGTCCAGAATCAGAAAATTCCACAGCACAAAGTTAGAGATCATGTGGTTTAGTTTCCTTCATTTGAGAAAAATGAGGTCAAGGGAAGCTGACTACCCGATTGTGGTCACATTGCTATTCTATTTAGAATAGAAACAAAACCAGATCAGCACTTTCCTAACCTCCAAACTACCTCTCACCCATCATGCTCTGCCCTTTCTCTTCTCACATGGAACCGTGCTAATTATACAACCGAATAATAGGAACCCAAATGAATGGGAATACATTACATGTACTGACATAATAAGCTTGTGTGTCAGCTAAACCGAGTGTTTTCCAACTTCTTTTCAATCATAATGTTTCTTTTTCCATGTCTCTTCCTGTCCATCTATTCTTTTTGGGAAAAAGGTGCCTGACAGCATTGAAGGTCACCGTGGTGACTACCATCTTGAGAAGGCAGAACGCTGACTCCCGGGGGCAAGGGCTCAGCCGCCCCTCGCAGGAGGCCACTTAGCATAGGGTTCTCCCATGCATTCTGAAAGGCCAGGCCTCCTCTCATCAAGCACTACTGTGGCATGCTTTCCACAGGACTGAACCAAGTGCACATTGGAGAAATAGAGGAGAGGTATGTCCTAGCAAACAAATATCTACAGCATGAGTTGATTACATTAGATTAAGAAGGTGTAACTTTTTAGGAGTACATCTTGACTCCCAAACATTTAATAAATGCTTTTTTTGTGCCTGGTACTTGTCATGTTGTTTCATCACCAACATCACATCTGTCTCCTCCATTAGACTGTGAGCTCTCTCAATGTAGTAAAGAGGGTAGGTGATTAAACAAAGGGTTGAAAGTCATTGGTAACCAGAGGATTGATTAGAAGAATGTCAGGACTGGGTGCTGTGGAAATGGAGCTGAGGGTACAACTGCCCAGCAGTGTATTGACAAGGGGGGCGTGGGGCTGGCTGAAGGTTGAGCTGGCTTTTGAACTGTCTGAAGGAATTCAGCCGCCAAAGAAGGGATTGGCAGCATCCTAGATAGAGCGAAAAGAATGTGCAAAGCCTCAGGTCAAAGAGAGCCATGTCATGTTCAAGAGACCTCTGAGGAGTGAGGAGTAGAAAATGGCAGGGGATGCTTGGGAAAATGGTGGGAGACAACGTTGACCAGGAAGGTGGGAGGGGAGAAGGCGAGGACTTTGTGTGCCCTGTTCTGGAAGGCTGTGGGGTGAACGGGGATCACTAGAAGACCTTACTCTAGAAGGCACGTGACTAGGTTTGATCTGTTCCCCAGGACAACTCTGCAATGTTCTGCGATGAAAACATGAGGGTTAAAGAACTGAAACACTGTTTATAAGGCTAATGACCAAAAAATGGCAGCCCTGTGGCAGCTGCTACAGGCAGGAAGGAATGTGCAGGGAGCCTGGCAGGCTCTGGTCTAGATGCAAACTGTCTAGAGCTTCTTGTTCTCTCTCTGAAATGTAGTGATGAGTCATTTTCTCTCCTCTCTCAAAAAGAAAACAAACAAAAACAGCCTCACCTGTCCTCCTCACAAAGAGAAAATGACCCCTGGGAGACTTTTGCTGTGTCCTTGAGCCCAAGTATCTCAGACACTCTTGATTCTTATAGGACAATGATGGCGAATCTATGACATGTGTGTCAGAGGTGACACGCGAACTCATTTTTTGGGTTGATTTTTCTGTTAAATGGCATTTAAATATATAAAATAAATATCAAAAATATAAATCTTTGTTTTACTATGGTTGCAAATATCAAAAAATTTCTATATGTGACACAGCGCCAGAGTTAAGTTAGGGTTTTTCAAAATGCTGACATGCCAAGCTCAAAAGGTTTGCATCGCTGTTATAGGACCTGAAGGATGCCAGCGTTCTGATCTCTCGTATTTCTCCTTTGCTCTGTCCGAGATCTCACTTCCTTCAGATAACTTATAATGGTCTCTTCCTGAAGTAAACATCACTAGTAAGTTTACTCTGAAGGTGCAAATCTTGGCTAGGGTGGCAATATCATCTTTGTGGTGAGTCCTGGGCAGAGGTAACTCCACAGAGTTCCTGCCCAAAGTGAGCGCTCTGTTTTAGGAAGAAAACCACTGGCCTTCCTTAGTTGATGCGAGGAAGGAGCTAAGAGGGCTCTCAGGCCCTGGCTGATGTTGCTCAGTGGCTGGAGCATCGGCCTGCACACCAGAGGGTCTCAGGTTCGATTCCTGGTGAAGTTGCACATCCCTGAGGTGTGGGTTTGCTCCCTATCCCCCCGGGTCAGGGCAAGTGTGGGAGGCAACCAGTCTATGTATCTCTCTCTCTCTCTCCCCCCTCCTTCCCTTCCAGTCTCTCTGAAAAGCAATGGAAAAAATATCCTCAGGTGAGGATTAAAAAAAAAAAAGAGTGCTCTCAGGTGTGATGTCAGGTCACTGTCTCCTTTTGAAGCTGACTCAGGGGCGATACTCAAAACATGAGTCAACATACCAGGGAACTGATCAACAAGAATAGACACTGCCCACGGAGAACCTGATTGGTGGCCTATTGGTTAGTATCAGCTCTGGGAACACACAACAAAGAAGGTACATCCCTTGCAGAAGTGCCAATCTTGGATGCCTGTATCTATAGGTTCTCTTTCTCTTGAGGGCCCTGGTTTGGGATGCTGTGCACTTCTGCCAGTTCCTGCAGCTGGGAGGGGCTGCTGGCTGCAGTAGTGCTTCCTTGGGGCCAAGCAGCCTCCCCTTTAATCTGCCTTCTTAGGGTGAGGAGGGGATGTTCCCAATCATTCAGGGGCCTCTGCCTTCAAGAGTTCTGTCTGGACCAGAGAGCACTTTCATCTTTTTTGCCTTAGAAGATAAATGAATTGATGTAATCTGAGTCCTCATTAAAAGTGGAAGCTAAAAGCTCATACTCCTTGCGTCTCCCTACACCCCATCTTTCTAGTTGGACATTGTCACAATCGTTAACCTGGGAATTGATTTGGCTTGTACTAAAGAAGTTTTAGGAGAAAGAACAATCTGTTAAGAACCTTCAATTCTTCACATAATGAATGAGAGCTTTTGCGCAATGCTCAAGGTCCTTTTTACACATTCCCTGGGAATGGAGGCAGGAACACAACTTTTATAAATTACCCAGTAAAACATAGAGCACTCTTGTAACGTAGGTGATTAATCTGGGGGAGCTTGTGTGCATCAGCGGCCCAGACAGCCGAGCGCCTAGTAATGTAGCATATCCCTCCCAGCAAGAGGACGGCAATACATCTAACCTGTAGGCAGTGCGCGGCTTCAGCGGTCCGTCACAGAATTTTAGCTGATTGGGATCACATTTTCCACCCAGGCTCTCCATCTCTGCTCCGAGCTTAATGTTAAAACTCTTGGAGTTGCTGTCAGGACTTTCGGCACATTTGCTGGCAAAATAATTGGTCTGATACACGCGAATGGAGGCGTTGTGCCTGTACTCCAGGTAGGAGGGGAGAGGGTGCTGCTGTTCCGGCTTCAGCTCATCACTGCCTGGAGGACAAAACCCACAGTGAAGAATGACTTTCTGGTGGCCTCAGTGGTTTCTACTGAGGATTCGAATTGACTCCTCACCCTCCCTGGTCATTCCCAGCATTTGTGATCTCGAAGGATGCTGTGAAATTCTCCCAATGAAAATAATTTTAATTCATTTTTTTCTAAAATGAATGATGGTCTATAAACAAAGATATACATATATATATACATACATATATATGCCATCATTTTTCTTGCAAATAAAATGTGTGGGTGAGAGGATATCTCATTAAACCAAATGATAACATGCCCACAACTCCAGAAAGTTAAACACTCCCCAATGTGAGAGTCAACCCACTCAATAAGCTTGCCAATAATCATTGTAGCTAAGCTAATAAGGAAATCCCTATGACCTGGGAAATAGGAAAAAGATAAGAGAAATCAAATCCAAGGCCAGAGCAGTCGCCCCACCAGCACGTTCCAGGCGCCACGCCCTGCTGATAACTGCTCAGGGTACAGGACTGTTATCTTGAGTACAGTTTAATCCTGGCTCAGATTTGGCCCCTCATGCCGATCACTTCCCAGAACTCTTCCCCTGTCCACCCAGCCTGCTGTGTGTTTTGGCTCTGCAAACCAGTTTTGATGTTGGCTGGAGGAAAGCATAATTAGGAAGATAAATATTATGGAGATCGCATACTATTTACAATGAATTTCAAGAAGTGGTATGGTAGGGGTTCATGGCATCCTGGACTCTTGTTTCATAAAATTTGCTCAAAATGAGTGGATCTTGGAAATATTATCTTGTTGGCAGTAGTTGAAAAGGAAAGTGGCCTTTAGGATGCGTGCATATGCGATAAATGCCACTTATGTGAGCAGGACTGTTATCTTAGATCACCAGGGGAGCACTGCCGCCCTCCATGGGCATCAATAACTGAAACCCACCTGCCGAAGAACACAGGCTGCTCTCTGGGGTCTGACTTCTTCACTGCCTTATATTCACGTAGTAAAACCACCTTCATTGCAGCCCACTTAAATCTAAAGTCGCTGCACAGTTCAATTTATCTCCAGTTATGAGGTGTAAAGAAATCTGGGATGCACCACTGACCCTTGAAATTAGTTAATTAATTATGCATATCCAGATTTAATACAATTAAATAAGATGTAAAAGTGCATGGACGGTTAGCTATCTAAAATACTATTTAGCTCCAACATTTGTCAGCTTTAAAGTTTCCCATTGCCCACAAATGGGTTACAATTGTCAAAGATGCTTAAGAAACTCATGTGCAGACCTTAAAGAATTTTGAAAGACATAAAACATGAAAAATCTATCAATGCCATTCCAGCCACAAACATCTGTTTTGGAGAAATAACACACAAGACCTCAATGGCAAATACACTTACAGGCATGTGGACACCAATGTACAATGCTCCTGTATTTTGACAAATGCTGATGTATATAGTGATCTCTGGAGATCATACTCGGTGGTTGTATGGAATGTTGTTTCAACTATTACCTAGTATTTGCCTAGTCCACAGGCATTAAGTAGGCACAGAATAATTTGAGGATGAAAGAACTAGAGAATAAAACATACATTGAAGAAAATGCAGTAGAGAAAGGAGGAATGCTTTTTATGATCATCTTTTTCCTCCCTCAAGCTTTTGAGTATTTTTGTGACTTGGTGGGTGGTTTGGGACATGTGTTTGGTGGGGGTATTTGAGACAGAGACGGGGGAAGACAGTTATAGCATATTGCTGCTTAATGGTAGACCAAAAGAGCAGTGAACAGGACTGAATGAGTAGTGAAGAAGACTGAATGAGTCTGCACATGCAATGCACTTCCAACAGTGCCTGACACATAGTATGGGCTCAGTAACTGATGGTTACCTTTATTATAGTTGTGGTTGCTATTATTATCATTCACCCATTGAATAATTACACCCAGCAGGTAATAGTCTTTATTGTTGAAAGAGCCTTTGAGCAGTTTTTTTGTTACATCTCCCTGCATCCCCATAGTGGCTTTTGAGAAAGCAATGCTGCGTCTTGGAGTTGAGGGAATTCGCTTACCATCAGCCTCTCTCACTACCACCGTGAAGTATTTCACAGCTCCATTGGTGTCGCTGAACCAGCTGCAGTTGAAAGTAAAGTTGATGGAAGATTTGCTAATTAGCACGTCCTTTTTATTCACACGGATATGCGGAGGTGGAGGAGGAGGGCCTGAGGAAGGGTGGAGAGAGAAGCAAGAAGGGTCACAACTCTGCTTCTACATAGAAACAATATGTGAGGTGTTGATACATCCTCTCTCTCTCTGTATGTGCGCACGCACTTGTGTGCCTGTATGTAATCAAGAAAACCCCCCCTCTCCCAATGGGAGCAGGCCTGAGTGATGTGCCAGAGGCATTAAACATAATGAAAGAGGCAGCTCCATGAGCTCCTCTCCCAATGGGAGCAGGCCTGAAGTGATGTGCCAGAGGCACATTAAACATAATGAAAGAGGCAGCTCCATGAGCGCTCTAACTGTATCGGTAAATGCTAACTCATTTAGGGGCCTTCAGATCTTTTAGCTTGTTTGCTGCAGGGTACCTTACACAGAGAAATGCTTCCATTTCCCCGGCCTTTTAGGTCCTCTAAGTGACAAGACACGCTGATGTGGAAGTGAATTGTATGCAAGTGGACAGCAATGACGAACACGACAGCGGACTACGCACACCTCCGGGGACACTCACGGTCTATCATTGTGATGGTGCTGTCTTCCACCACCTCACTGGTCACGCCAGCTGACTGCACCTTGATGGACACCAGGTACCTCTTATGGGGCACGAGCATCATAATACTGAGCAGAGATTTTTCCTTCTCCAGCTTTCTGGAAAACTCAACTTCTTGAGTGTCCATTTTCCGGCATTCAATGCTATACCCGTCAAAGTCAGAATCAGGAGGGATCCAAGAGCAGGCAATGGCCGTGGAGTTCTGAGGCCGGCAATGCAGGTTTTGGATTTTGTCTGGCTCTAAAGGAGAGAGAGGAAGGGACACTTTTCGTAACTCCGTGAGACATGTTTTTTAGGGGTCCAACTAGCTCAGAGATCTAAACAAATAATTCCCCAACTTAATTTGGATTGTTTTTCAAGGAAAAAAATATTCTCATAGACCTCCAAGGAAATGTCTGCCTGCCACACCCTATTTTGAGAAACATTAAAATTTATAGTGCTGTTCCTTTAAAAAAATCACCAGATGCCAATGTGACTGGAAACACAAATGTGCACCTGGGCAGTGAAATCAAGTGGCAGAAGTCAGAGAGAGGGTCAGGCAGAGTAAAGGAGAGGTCAGAAGTGCAGTTCGGCCTGCCTGAATTCAGATCCTATTTACCAGCTGTGCATTCTTGGGCAAGTGACTTAACACATCTGAGCCCCTCTGTAAAGTGGGGAAGTTAAGATAACATGATTACTGTGATGATTCAATGAGTTGAAACATGCACAGCCTCCTAGAATAGTGGCTGGTATAGAAATTGCTCAATAAATGAGGAAATTAAGAAATAGCATTGCTGGCCTGTTACCCTCTGGCTCTGGCTTCTGTCCCCTCTTCCATTTTCTGCCTGCCCTTCCCTGCTCACATGCCATGGAACCGAAACTGCTTGTGTTCTGCATGGAGACCATTCTGTCCCAGGCCCCTATGCTATGGTCATTTGGTTTCTTCTGCCTAACAGAGTGCCTGACCCAGTAGGGACTCAGTGAAGAGAAGCTGGTCTTACTTATTGTGAATGACAAAACTATGAGTAAAAGATGCAGTCGGGAAGAAAAGCACTTAAGTGACTGTCGAGGTTAATAAGAAACTCTGTAGGCTGCCCCAATCAGTTGCATGCCTACCATTTCTAATTATTTATATATCTATAAAGTGAAATTGTATGATTTAGTTAAGTAATTTTTGAATTGTAATTTTAGCAGTGGGGCCATTTAAAAAAGAATAGTTCTCAGTTCCCTGGTCTGTAGAATCAGAGGAGTTCTGGTCTGTGTTTGAAGTGTGCATTGGGTTCAGGGGTGCTACACTGGGGTGCTCTCTCTACGACCTCCCTTGCATCCCCCAGACATTTCCAAGGAGCCTTCAGGCTCTGGACTAGAACTTGAAACCTAGGTCTAGACCACCTTATTTCATTCCAGGAGTTAAAGCCTTCATAAAGATTAAAAGTTAAAAGCCTGTCCCATTGTCCTATTGACCACAGGACACAATACAGTAACAATCCCCAGGTGGCAATAATCAATGGCATCAACCCATCAAAAGGCTCACAAAAGAACTGGCATTTGAGACAACCAATATGTGTCTTTTTAAACATTAACTGCTTGTTAAACTTTGGAACTCCTTTCAAACCAAATCAGAGCTGAGACCTAAAGACATCCTGTCTAACCCATAACTCTGATAATTCGCACAAAGGATAATATGGAAACTGGCTTCCACCTCTTCCCTCAGTTCCTTCTCTCCTCCTTTTCACCTGTAAATCCCACCTGCCTTCCAAGACTCAGGTCCAACTCCCATTCACTAAGAAATGAGTGCCTACTATGTGCAAGGTGCTCTTCTAGGGTCTATGAACAATAGAGAGATGAATATGACATTAGCCTTAACCTCTAGGAAGGGAGAGGACTCCAAAATAGCCATAATACAAGGTTGAAAGGAGATTGTCCCAGAAGAAATGGAAAAAGAAGATGCTGTGTGGTGACAGACACCTTTTTGCTGCTGGCACTAGTGGTGGACAGGAGATAGCAAAGGCCTCTGGCAAAGATGACAACTCGCCCAGATATCGGGAAGGGCATTTTAGACAGAGAAACCATGCACCCAGGTGCTGAGGGTGGGGCTGGGAGGCGTGGGAAGGTGGTTGACCCTGAATGACCAGTTATTCATCATGGCTGGAGCTTATTTGTGAGTAACTGGCTACTGGAGTGATTTATAGGAGAATGATGATAAGCTTCTATTTTGCTTAATCCTCTTATTTTGGGGTTTCTGTTACCCATAGCCAAACCCAACCCTAACTAATGAAATCCTCCAAGTTCCATCAGCCATTCCTCATAAAATTCAGCGCCAGATCCCTCTACATGCTGTTTGCTCTCCTCGTGGGCATGCCCCAGTTGGTAAATGCCACTTTTAAACTCTTATTGTGCATCCGGGACGGAACACAATACTCCAGATGTGATCGGACCCAGCCTCTACTGAGCTCTTCACTGCGCACCTGTCATTCAATCACACAGCCACAGCAAGCCACTGAAAACCCACCCTGAGCTTGCTATAAGCAAAACCTGTTAGTTTTTCCTCACATATTTCTCTTGAATCTGGTCTTTGGATACAATATGGAGCACAAATGATAATTGTTCTAGCACTCATGTTTGTTGAATAAACAAAACAACTACTTGCATAAATTTGTAATTTCCAGCTAGGTATTTTCTCAATAACCACTATCTGGTCTGAGAAGCTACATTTACTAGGTATTATTGAAAAATAAATACTTGAATTGAGGTTCCTATTCTGAAACACCTTTGTTTCTTTCAGGTTAGTTCATTGATCCCAAAATGCCTTTGAGAAGAAACTGATACATATTTTAGTGTTAAAATATTTTTCTCTTCAGGTTTTATAACAATATGTCCTAACCGATCCCTCTGCTTCTAGTTTGCCCCTTTTAACCCATTCTTTACACTATACTCAGAGTGGCTTTCTAAAGTACAAATCTGATTATGACATCTTGGCCAAAAACTCTTCAGTGGCTCTGATTGATTGAGGATAAAGTTCAAAGTCGTTACAATGGCTCACAAGACATTTGATGACCTGATTCTCCTAATTGCACCTTTTATGCTCTTGCCAACGAAACTCCTTTCCATTCCTCTCTCCTTCCTGGTCTTGGAATATTTTAGTCTCTCTACCTGGAATATTCTCCACTTCTTTCCCCGTCTCCACCTGGTGGATCTTACTCTTTCCTTAGGTTTTGATTTGGATGTTTCTTCTTCCTGGAAGCTCCCTTGCATTGGGTCAGTGCCACTACATGGGTTTCTACAGTGCCAAATGCTTCCTTCATCACACCCAAATGAAACTGCTTTTAAAGATGGTACCCCCCACTCGATTGTAAGCTCTCTGAGATTTTTCTTTGTTGTTCATTGTTGCTCGTATATGAATAAATGAACAAATCTATAGATAATTCTGCCTGAATTCAATCTAAGCAATTCCAAGTAAAAATGTGGATTTAAACCAAGCCCGGTTGGAATTACATGTTGTAACAATACTTCCTCCTCATTCCATTTGAGAACTGAGAGTAAGAAAACATGTCATACTTGTCCTCACAGACCCAGAAACTGGTCTGCTGTAGGTTTTCCAGGAGTCTCCGCTGACAGTCTTGACACTGAACTGATAGGATCTCCCTGGACGAAGACCATACACGATGCGTCCCTCTGATTTTCTGTTGCTGTAGGGGTTGAAGACCGTGATTGCATCTCTGGGTAGCCACTGCACCTCAAAGTCATCGTAGTCTGTCCAGTCTGGTGGCCCCTTCCAGGTGATGGCCAAGGATGTGTTTGCAACATCAGCAAATGACATAAGACTGGGAGGACTTGGGGCTGTATGTAGAAGAACATGAAAAATCATGTAATCACTTCTATGCCATAACATATGCCAATAAGATAGCTAAGCGACATCAGACATACTTAAATGTACTTTGTAGGAGGAAATAATATAATATAATAATAGGAGCTTTACTATGTGGAAGACACTGTCCTCAAGTGTTTTATGTACATTTTCTTTCATTTTCATAACCAGAGCTCCCTTACCAGAGTGCTGCCCTGAATGGGTATGGCCTGAATGGGTTACAAGTGTGCAAAGGTATTAATACTATCATATTTTGAGTTGTGAGGACTAAAGTCCAAGATTATGTCCAATTTCAGATGGCCCTGTCCATTGACCCCAGATTGGCACACAGGTATATTAATGTTGTCTATGTGTGCCTAAGAAATTTAAAAAAAATTTAGGAAGCACTGCTCATAGCCACACCATGATGATGTATGTGATTATCCCCATTTTACAGACAAGAAAAATTGAGGCTTAGAGATGCTCAGTGACCTGCCCAGTTTCACTTAAGTCAGTGGCAGAGTTAAGCTAAGGACCTAGATCATTTTAACCAAACTCTGTTTCCTTTATCCACTGTACCATTGTGCTTTCCCCCCCAGTTCAGGGGTTAGCACATGGCACATCCTTATTACTTATGTTTCTTCTTATTAAAACCATAATTAAAACATGTCTTTGGCCCTGGCTGGTATAGCTTAGTGGGTTGAGCTTCATCCTATGTACCAAGAGGTCACTGGTTTGATTCCCAGTCAGGGCACATGCTCAGGCTGCAGGCTCCATCCCCAGTAGGGGGTGTACAGTCATCAATGTTTCTCTCTCTCTCTATGTCTCCCTTCCTCTCTCTCTAAAATCAATAAAAATATATTTAAAAGCAGCAGTAGCAACAAAGCAAAACAACAAAACAAAACAAAACACGTCTTTGGAAGCTACTTCCCACCAATACTTGGCCATTGGCAACTGGGCTTCTTACCTGTTCTGCTCTGCCCTGTGACCTTGTTGCTGAGCTCCCCACTGTGAGTTACCACACACAGGGTGTACTTCCTTCCAGGAACAAGGCCATGGAAACGCCACTCCGTCAGGTCCTTTTCTTTCCAGTTTTCCTTCTTCGTGCCATTGGGATTATAGAGAATCAGCTCATAGAAGTCGAAGTCCCCAGGGGCTGGACTCCAGCTGAACCAGAGACTGTCTGTCATGTTCCGATTGGATCCCTTGAGGTTACTCACAGAGGCTGGGACTGAAACAGAGGGAAAGCCCTTACCAAAAACAAAACAGAAACAAAGGCATTTTGACCCACAGGTGAAAATATGAGCTGCATTGGGCATATGGGTGAATAGCTCCTACTGTAGAGTCAGACCTTGCCTACATCTCAGCTCACTCAGGTTTAGGAGAATGTGGTACAAATTAAAATAGAACAAAACACAACAGGTGGTGACCTTTGTATGCTTGCCACATGAACCTCAATGGACATATAAAATGAAATCTTCAGAAATGATTAATTAAAACTGGTCAAGCTTCTTATACCTGAACTCATAAAAGACCCTAGAAGTGTTCACAGAAGGTCCCAGCCCTTGCAGTCAGGCCCATATCACTGTGGCCGCCGTACCATAACGTCCCTCTCTCTGAGTCTCCACTTCCTCTCCAGCTTTTAGGTTCTCAGTACTCCCATGTTCTTTCTCACCAATATCTTTATTAACAGTTGCTTCTACCTTTATATAAATTGGTTATGCTGGCACCTGTCCCAAGGGTATTTGAGCATCATCATCCTTTGAAGAATGAAGACTGTTGTCTCTAGTTAGAGGAACTGGAAACATTAATGTGCAGAGCATAAACTGCTCTGGAAACGGTAACATGTAGGCAAGTCTATTCACAGTTTAGGCTTATCTGCTGCTCCTTTTCATTCCCTTCAAAAGGGAACGAACATAGGACTTCTGTTGGGCGCCTGGAATGTGCTCTACACATGGCTGCCCTCAGGTTTCAGCTGAAATGCCTGCTCTGTCTAGTTTCTTGTCCTGCCAAGTAGTTCTCTGTCACAACGTCATACTGTTTATCCCCCTCATAGAATTTCAGGTGTTCCAAGGTCATCTCCCTTTAACATCTGCTCTCCCCTGCCCCTCTCCATCCACTAATGTAGAGCTCAATGAGGTCAGGGGTGTCATCTCTCTTGTTCACTGTCATGTTCCAGACTTGAGCCCAGTGCTTTGGATACAACAACAAAAACTAATGTCAAATGAAAAATAATTTTGAATAGAAAAATGAGAGAATAGGCTCAAATTATGGAACAAGAGAAGGTCCAGATTCCTATTTGCAGCCCAGAGAGATGTTTCTCCCTCTCGTTTTCCTGGAACTCTTGTTGTTCACTTCATCCAGGGCTGTGGTTTTGATTCCCAGCAGTCTTTGCTTATTGGTCCCATTTGTAGTTGTCCTTCTCAGGACCTTCCCTCTACTCCATCTATGTCTTGTAGAAAGATTAAGGGCAGAGCTTGGATTATAAATAACCCTCTTGGAAGTAGAGGAATGAGATTCATTTTTTTTCATCAACCTATGAGATAAACAAGTGGAGGCAACAGAGCAGAAGGCAGTGCAAAAACTTAGGGTCAGAAAGCCTGAAGGTCACAAATTTCATATAAAGCTATGTATCTTGGGTAGAATAGCAACTGTTGTGATAATTTCCTTAGTGTGTGGGCCCCGGTCTTACCTGTTCTTCCGAATATGGAAGACTCATTAGACAGCTCCCCACTGTGAGTTACTATCACCATTTTGTACATTCGACCTTGCAGTAAGTTCTGGAAAGAAAAGCTCTGGACTTGTGGGTCAACTTGAGCTCTGTCCTGAAGAGTTCGATCTGGGTTGTACAGAAAGATGTTGTACCAGTTGAGCTCTCCCTCTGAGGTGGTCCAGGTGAAGGACAGGTGTCTGGTGGAGTTCTCTGTGATCCGCAGGTTGGTGACAGCTGCTGGCACTGGAAAAGTAGAGGAGCAAGAGAGTGAGACTGAGTTTTGGCATGTCCCTGACACAGCCTAGCGTGGCGCCTGGATGGGTTCACTCAAGCAATAGTTCAAAACACATGGTTCCTGCCTTTAACAAATAGTGACTTCATGGAGACATTAAAGTAAATACATACATCTAATTATTGATGCTGAAACTGTTCATTTTAAAAACAAAACCACAAAAGAACAAGGAAAATCATTAATGGTAAAGTATCTTCAAATATATTTTTTGAGGGGGGTATATAATAAATGTTAATCTAATCTGTGTGACTAAATGTCTTTCTAATTTTAAGAGCCATATCAGAGATAACACATACACACACACATACACACACACACACACACACACACACACACACACACACTGTCTCTGAATGCCGTCTGAGAGCTAGGAAATGACCACAAGAGGGAAGGATTGTGGGGAGGAAAGACTGGTGGGAAAGAAAGGGAAAGGCAGACAGAAAGAGGAAATTAGAATCAGGGGTATAAGAAAGAGAAGCAAGAGGAAAGTCCAAACTATTTTTTTAAAAAAGTTTACATTAGGATTTTGCAATCCCCCTTAGTGCTACCTATTGGGGAAAGCAATCAAATGCCAACTGAAATCACCAGCTTTGACACTGTTGGTGCAGATGCTTCCTGATTCCACAGAAGTCTTCAGGTGCAGGTGGAAACAGACCAGGACATTTGTTTCAGTCTTTCCTGAGTTCTTTTCCCTCCACTGCAAACACCTTCTCAGGCTCTTTTTCTTCCTTCTTCTTATGTCAGGCACTTAAAAGTTGGTGCTGTCCATGGTTCTATCCTCTATCCCCTTCATATCTTATAACAATAGCTAAGCAATCATCCTCATTCACTTTATGAATTACTATGGTCTGAATGTTTGTGTTTCCCCAAAGTAGTATGTTGAAACCTAACCCCCAAGGTGATGGTATTAAGAGGTAGAGCCATTGGGAGATGATGAGGTCATGAGGGTGATGCCCACATGAACAGGATTAGTGCCCTAAAAAGAGGCCCCAGAGAGCTCTCTCCTCTTTTCATCATGTGAGAACACAATGAGAAAGTACCATCTATAAACCAGAAAGCAAGCCCTCACCAGATACCCAATCTACTGGTGCCATGATCTTAGACTTCCGGCCTCCAGAACTGTGAGAAAGAAGTATTTGTTGTTTAAGCCACTCAGATTATGGTATTTTTGTTAAAGCAGCTTGAACAGACTAAGATATGGATTTAATTAGAATTTTTATCCAAATCTCTATCTCTCACTTTTCTGAGCTGGGACCCATATTTTCAATTACCAATAATCACCTCCCTATGAAAGTCATCCAGACATCTCAAACTCAGTCCAAAACGGAATCCTGTATATTCCTCCGTGGGATTCCTTCTTTCTGCTTCTCTCATCTAAATTCATGGCCTATAAATCAGTGATGGCGAATCTATGACACGCGTGTCAGAGGTGACACACTAACTCATTTTTTGGGTTGATTTTTCTTTGTTAAATGGCATTTAAATATATAAAATAAATATCAAAAATATAAATCTTTGTTTTACTATGGTTGAAAATATAAAAAAATTTCTATATGTGACATGGCACCAGAGTTAAGTTAGGGTTTTTCAAAATGCTGGCATGCTGAGCTCAAAAGGTTCGCCATCACTGGCCTATATTCTACCAAACACGCCAGGTAGGAACTCCAGAATCTCCTGTTCCTCCATCTGAACTCCACTTAGCCACCAAGTACCATCTTACCTCATGTAGAAATATTTCTTGACTATATCTACTGTTCTTCATCAGCCTCCTTGCATTAGTTTAGCTTTTGACCCTTAGGATTTCTGCAACTGTGATCATTTCTTGAGCCCAATTACCTTTCTGACTACATGCCTCACTGGGTTCTCACTCACTCTTCTCCAGCTATCCTGACCTCTTTTTCCTCCACCAGGCCAAATGGACTTTGTGAATGTGATTAAATTAAGGTTCTTGAGATGGAGAGCTTATTCTGGGTTATCTGGGTAGTGACCAATGTAATTCCAAGAGTCAAATATGGGAGAGGGAGGCAGAAGAGTAAAGAAGGAGATCTGGTGACAGGCACAGAGGTTGGGGTATTACCACTGCTGGAAGGGAGCCAGAAGCCAAGGAACCTGAGTGACCTCTAGAAGAGATAAGGGCAGGAATAGATTCTCCCCTAAAGTCTATAGAAGAAACACAACCCTGCTAACACCTTGATTTCAGCCCCATAAGACCCATCTTCAGATTCCGACCGCCAGAGCTATAATATAGTAAGTTGATGTTGTTTTAAGATGCTAAATTTGTGGTAATTTACCCTAGCAGCCATAGGGAACTAATAGAGACAGTTTTCATGAAAAATCTAAATTGGAGTACGGCAGGCTGAAAGGTGTGTCCACTGGCCCGCTGACGTGGACATGGACAATCATGTCTCCATTCTTACGGTGTCAAGAAATATATGTGATCTCCCCATGTTGCTTCATCCCTCTGAGGCTACTGTTCCCAAGGAATAGCAGACAAGGAGATATCTCACACAAAACAGCAGGCCGTGTGAATTACCTGTTCGGCCTTCCGTCTGGGCTTCCTTGCTAAAGAGGCCTCCGCTGACAGTGAGGATCTGTATCTTGTATTTCTTTCCTGGTGTCAGGTCTTCAAATTTGTGCTGCTTCGTGGTGGCTGGTTTTGATGTGTTACTCAGAAGAATCCCATTTTCATTTAGAAGTAGGATATCATATCTTTCTGCCATGCCAACGGCTTTTTGCCAACTTACTATTAAGGAATGACTGCTGTATACATTGTCTGCAATTATTCCCTGGACAGATGCTGGGACTGCAAAGGAAGAAAAGAAGCAGGTTTCATCATTTAGGATAAAGTAACCAGTTGAGAAAATGTCTCCTAAAGCAACTGCAGATGGAAGGTGATGCCTCATTATTGCATTGACACTTTCCATGTGCCCTTAGAAGAAAATATTTCTTGTCCTGAATTATCTGTAGGATTGCTTTGATTTTTCATTTTTTTCTCTGAATTTAGACAGGTTCTTGAAGTCAAACAAGTAGAATAATTCATAGAAGTGACACTGATAAATATTCAGAATGATGTATATGTATTTTTCTAGAGAGTGCAAGAATGCTGAACAAATTTACATTCAATGAATATAGTTTGGAATATGTAGTTGCTTGTTTCGACTTTTATTCCCAAGATTAACTCAAGTCAAAGCTTCAAGCCTTTACTTAAGCAATAGTATATAAAAGTGTTTGTACTATGGCTCTTGATGTGAGAGGCAAAATAGTGTTATTTGTTAATAATATTTTTTGTCCTCGGCTCATATTTCAGACCTGTCTTCTATTTTTGCAAATGACATCTCTCTCTAGGTGTTCCACAAATGTCCAACTCTCAAGATGCCCAAATTGGACTCCTCATCTCCCTCCCATAATTTCCTTACTGTCCTTTGATTCTATCTCTTCATCTAAGTCAGAAACTCTTACCCTTCTACATATAATTAATCATTAATCTTATAATTTCTGTCTCCTAAATCTTATTTCTCTTGGACCTCTCTACTTCTCACCTTGTCTGTTACTACTACCCTAAGACAATATCATCTCTCTCATACATTATTACAAGTTACTTGACCAGTCCCTTTGATTCCTTACCTCTCAGTTTCAAACTACACGTGTATCAGGCATATTCTCATAGTACATCCATGCTGATGACACTTCAATGGCTCTCCATAATTCTAAACACCTTTGTAAGGCATACAAGGCTCTTTACAATTTGATTTGTCTACTTCCTTGGCCACATGGCTCACATTCTTTATTCTAGCATACTAAACAGTGTAAGGGTCCCCAATGTGCCAAGGTTTCTGCTTCATCAGGATGACTTCTTAGTATCTGTTTAACTATTACTTCCTCCCTGACTCTTTCTGTTTGCTCCTATAGTACCCCATATTCATTTTTATTTTAGTGCTTACCATGATACACTGGGAAGACACCTAAGAAGTATTGTGTCACAGTAGAGAGAACATGAAGTTTGGAGACAGACAGATCTAGATTTGAAAGATACTAGTAGCTCCAGACCTTATTACATGTATCTAGATAATGTTTCATAAACTTTTTAGCCTTACTTTCCTTATTGTTAAAGTAGAGCTGATGATCCTCTACCAGGTAGTGTGACTAGAGATAATTTTAAACTAGAGGCCTGGTGCACGAATTTGTGCACAGGTAGGGTCCCTTGGCCTGGCTGGTGATCGAGGCCTATCAAGGGGTCTGCCAGCCAGGGGAGGGGTCCCGGGAGGTTGGATGGCCAGCCCCGCAATCAGGGCCTAATGGGGAGGCCAACTGGCAGGGGGTAGAGACTGTGGAAGGTTGGCCAGCCAGCCCCTTGTTTGGGGTCCAGGGGGAGGGGCTATAAAAGGTTGACTGGCTGGGGGGGAGGGGCCACAGGATGTTGGCTGTGGGAGTGCACTGACAACCAGGGGGCAGCTCCTACATTGAGTGTCTGCCCCCTGGTGGTCAGTGTGCATCATAGTGACTGGTTGACCAGTCGTATGAACGGTTGGACACTTAGCATATTAGGCTTTTATTATATAGGATCATATTTTTCAATTTCCATTCTCTTATTTCCAGAGAGCTTATGCAT